TATTGAAGCATGGTTTTTCCAATATTTTTAATTGTAATTTAGTTTTCTAATCGCAAAGAAAAAAAAAAATATTACTTAAAAACCATGAATAACGTATGATGTGTAATAAATCGATTTAAAAGTAATGAATAATATTAAGAATAAAGCGAATATTTTATGTTTGTTCTTATTCGAAAATCACTTTTTAAAAATATGAATACGTATTCATCGTTAAGATTATAAATTATAATGAACTTTTTACGCACGAACCAATACATTATTTTAATTGAGTTTTGGCTGTGATCGTGACGTTACACGTTATTATTTTTTTTTCGTCGTTGATACATACGTATGTTTCCGATTTAGATTCTTTATAAGTAATTTAACATGGTTAAAATGTTATATTATGAATTCATAAACTAAGAAAAAAAAAACTCCGGAATTAATGGCATACGCGACCATCTGAATATTATCGTCGAATGATACTCTCGAGTTTAATTATGTATTGATTTTTCGGAAAGATATATTTATTTTTTGTATTGCTGAAATACATGTTTTAATCATATTGCGTGATTCTTGGAAATAGTTGCATTTGTCTAACCTAACCTTATTGTATGATATATTTAACACGTTATTCAAAAAAATTATAAAATTTTGTTGTATTTTTTCGTGAACATTTATGCAGATATTAATAATAATGATAGTAGTATAAATAAAATAACGTCAAGCGAAATACATAACAGATGAATTAATAATTTGTGGAACAATACTCGTACATTACAATGTCATGTTATTAATTTATTATATTGTTTTTTGTACGACGGTCGCCCAAAATATACATAAATTTGAAAATCAGAAAGTGGTTTCAAGGATTTGGCAAGCATCCGGTCCAAAAACGTTGAACAATTTCGATGGGACTTGGAACAATTTATTGCATAGAATCCTCGTCACCCGTACATACATCTAACCGATCCGATCCCGTATGTTTTTCCATTAGGGTAAACAAAAACGTTATACAACAGAACTTGCCTTTCACTTTTTTTGGCACACTCAAGTCTTAGAAAAATTCTGTTCGGCCAACATTTTTAGAAAGGTTACAACCGTTTTAAGAACTGGCTCATATTTTATACGTATGTGAGCATTATTTCTGTTTCTATATTTTTCCACGCTTTCACGTCTTTCCTCCAACGCCTCCCCCTCCGACCATATGAACCGTTATTTTTTTTCCTCATTGATTTATAATATACGCGTGTTCGGTGTTGTCGTTGTTCTCCATGCTCTCGATTTCATCGAAATCTACTTCAGTCGAGACGTATTTCAATCAGGACCGTCGAAAACGATAACGATATATAATACGTCTACGCATTCATTTCAAATGAAAATATCGGGTTAAGGGTGGTGCACGTATGTACGTAAGTACGCGTTTTCATTATTCCAAAATTGATCTCCTCGAACGTCATGAATAACAATATTATAATTAAGACCAGACGCGCAGGGGTCGCAGCGCACAATACACTACTACTACTATTATTACCAATACTAATACCACTACTACTACTACTACAACTATTACTACTGCTACTGTTGCATACACGCTCGTCGAGTTGTTGTACTCCTGCGTGGTATCGCGCTCGTGTTCGATGGTGGATTCGCAGGACTAATCATGGCGAAATTCAAATTCCATACTTCACGAATAACCCATTTTGTGTGAACTACGCGTTCGTTTGGTCTACGCGCTTGCTTTTGTACCACGAGTGTGTACAAATCCATCATCACGCTCGTTTCCGTCTCGGCACGCTAATGCGTTCCGTAAAGATTCGCCGGCGAAAAGTTATGGTTAGCGTTTCGCGAAAAGTGCGCACTTTCCAGTGTCATATTGCAGCAAACCGCTATCAAAAGGGCGCGGTGGACTTGATATACTATATACATATATTATTATTAATCATGTACAATTCAAGTCACGGTAATGTAATTTATATTCTGTAATGCATTCATTTGTACAGTATCATATAAATCCGAAATCGAATTAAGCGCCGTGTGACTGAAATATAAAGTAACACCCATGTAATAAACATGTCAACGACTGTTTAAAGGTTACATGTTTTTAATTTCGAAGTATTTGTTGATGAAACGCAATTATTCAAATGACGTTACTGCGTCCCGTGACCATAAATATGATATTCAGTTGTTTAATTAAAAAAATAAACTTGTATAAACTTTAGGCAAAAATCTTATATATTGTGTATAATACATGACCTTTATTTCAAAAGAAACAGATTTCATAGAAGCGGTTGAAAATTTTTTTCTTAAAAAGCTGTACAATCGTAAAAAGTTTAATTCACTTAGTATGTTCTAGAAATATAATATACGGAATAAGTTAGAATAAATTTCCTTTACGATATGCATAAAAAGATAATCTACCTACGCGAACAATAAAACACTAACCATTCTTATATAAGCTATACATTTCTCACAACACGTACGATTACTGAAATCAAACTATTCAGTAGGAATAACTGATATACTGCACGTTAATAACAATTAGCTCAGTGGTAAATGCTCGAGTGCTAACATTTAAATCAATACTCGGTAAAATACAAAAGAAAAATTTGTCATGTTCATGATTGAATTATTCATTTATAGTTTGTACATATAAATAAATAAAATTAATACGTGTTTTTTAAATATTGCATTGAGTATAATTTGTTCTTTACGAAAATAAACGATACGAATTTTAATTATACTAAATAAGTATACACATTATTTTCAACACACAAATACGCACACTTGTAGACAAATCGTGAGTACAATATTCAAATTCAAACTTGAAAATGTAAGCAACGTAATAATTACACACCAAAAATTGATATTGATAAAAATCAAAATAATATTATTGTAGTAGCATATTAATATTAGTTTTCAGGTATTGTACTTGGTGTAGAAATTTTTGGCCATACATCTATAAGATACAATGTTTGAATTTCAGTGTTTTGAAATGCTTTAATCGCTTGTAAAAGAAAAATAATGACGCCCTAGCAGAAAATAATCAATAAGTAACGTTACGAACTGAACTACGATAAAATTGTATACATTTTTCTATTTAATAAATTTAAGAAAATAATAATAATAATAATAATAATAATGTAAAAAGAATACGTTCGATGTATCGGGTAACATACAGCGGTATATTGTTTCAAAAACGTGTTGTAAAGTATAAGTATGAAGCGGACACATTATTATTAGTTTTTCAGAATATAAATAAAGAATAATTATAATGAAAAAAAAAGTTGATTCGAACAAAAGTCTAAAATACACGAGTAGAATTGTACGTATACGATTCTTTGTGAGTTTTTGGTTTTTTTTCACCGTCGTTGTAAATAAAAGAAGGGTGGTTTTTATTATTTCGACTATACACAACAATTCGCGTTATGCACAAGCACAAACACTCTCTCATATACACACACACACACACATACACACTTTACTCCAGGACATAGCTTCGATAATCAGTTGGGTCGCGGTGGTGGTTTATGGGTTTTGTCGCCGCGCTGTCTGGTCCGAAGTGGTAACCATGGTTACCGCAGTCATACCTCTGATATATTTGTTCAGTGGTAACCAAAATAATCGAGAAATATTCGCAAAAACGTACTTATTACACGGTATGGGTTGGTTATACTTAATTCGGTATACGCACACATATCAATGTAACACGTACCGTGTATGCGTATGTTTTTCATATTTTATTTTGCCTAAAAACGTATATTATACTACATGTGGATTTTTACATTTATATGTGGATACGAATATTATACGTGCGATTCGTCCGCTCCCGCCGTCGTCGTTAAAATTTGTTTCGGGATAAATTGTTTTTCTTCTATCTCTCTCTCTCTCTCTCTCTCTCTCTCTCTCTCACTCTCTTTATCTCTTCCTCTTTGTTTTCGTCCACGCACATTAACGGTGGAACATAAGTAGGCGAGTAAGCGATTTTTCCAGTGCGTTTTCCCGCGGCCTTCGCCGTCGGCCTGAAGGGCTGATTAATGAGGACAAGTATACGATAAGCGAAAGTAACTTGAAAACGCTGATCGCAGCGAATTTCGACGAGAACTTCGGTTTCTAGTAATAATGTTGCGGGCTGACGAAAATATGTAACTGAATTTACAAGTACATAATTTATATTCGAAAACACGTAATAAATATCCGGTATTATCGTGCGAGCGGTATTTTATTTTATTTTTTCGTCCATCTGTACCGAACGTGCGGACGTAGGTGTATTCGAATTTTTTTTTTATACGAAATAGTTTTTTTCACTTCGTAAAAACGTATACGTCCGTGCGTTCGTGTATTGAATACTACACTCGGATAGCTGCATGACGTATTATGTAAGCCGTCGAAAACGTCACTGGCCGGCGCTGTGTGCGGACGATTTTGACAAAACGCACGTGCACAGTAGGTATACGACCTGGGTAAATCGTTGCGAAATCATTTTTTACGCGTTTGTCGTCCAAAAACGTATTATGAAATGTCGTTGAATGGTCTCGTTTGTGTGATTTTCGCGCGCGCCGAGCCGCGGCTGGTCGTATGAATTTCAACGGGTCCGGTGCCGATGGCGGTACACTATTATCGTATAATAATAACTGCTCATCGGGCAATCGCGATTTGTTCTATTTCGCTAAATCGACGATCGACGATTTATTCCAAGTGGCGCCGGATGCATGAGCCGCGAACAAATATTACGTCCGCGATACGCGTTATTGTTGCTCGACGCGTAAGACCGCCCATTCGTTTCGAGCGGAAATTTACGTGGCTATGCGTTTCGAAATTTTAAGGCGCAAGGTTTGTCATGGCTCGAACCGATTACAAACCATAAATATACGTTCGTACGCACGCGCGTTGGCTCCATCGAGTTTCGGTACAATCCGTAAGTCCTTACGAAAATGCAGCAGCAGCTCTCGCTGGGACCCAAACGCACGCATTATGTATAGTAGTGATTTTTGATAAAACATTATACTACACTTTTATAGGTCGCTGCCGAAACTCAGTACCCAAGACGAAGACGGCTGTGGTCCAGGGGCAAGTCTTGGCACAGGCCTCACACACGGTCATCCTCAACACTGTTCGGGGAGCTCAACATTCGAACCGATACCGCACGATCACGACTTTTGCGAAAGAGTTACAATCAACGTGAGTTATTAAACAATAATAATTCTATCCGCGTACGCATTATTTTTGTTCGACTGCAATAACGTCACATACGTAAAAAAAAATGTATTATTACGTATTATTGCTCCGTCGTGATGGGTGCACGACGAATACACGAATTACACGGTCGCCTATAATTGTGGGTGTGCTTGTACGGGTGCGTATAGATTGGTTTCGTTATCCGACGCGTGACACGCATTACACTTGTCGAAAAACTCAAACACACACTCGTGTCATTCGTAAAACGCGTGTATACATTACATAACCGTTCAAACATGTCTATGTGTTTTTTTTTATACGTTTATATAATTCCACGGGTTCGATATAATAAACATGTTGTGCTGCGTAACGTTCCGTTTGTTGACTTTGTGTATCTTTAAATCTATTACGACCAATACACGATATATACAAACGCAATTTCTTCGCTGCTCGTGACGTTTCAATCTAGTGGTGTACATCGAGCTTCCTGTTGACTTTGCGAAACGTAAAATCGATGAGCAGGACGGTCATTGAAAACGAGCTTTTATCCGTACGATTTACATAGAAATTACAAGATTTTGAAGGGTTGATTTAGGTTTACACAACTTTCGAGGGATCAACTGTATAAGGTGTCGGGCTGATGTTGTCAACACGACGAAATTACAAGAGGCTTTTACAAAAACGCCTCGGCGTGGCTCGAAACGGACCAAAGAGGATCAGTTGCCCGTCAAATTTAATTCGAAACTAATTTGACATGAGTTCCGATATATCGTGGCCTGGAACGGAAAAGCCCATTTATAACTTCTCTTTCTGCATATCTTTCACGCTATCGGTTTTCGTCTAGACCGGATTAGCCTTTTTAAATGGTCTCTTTACGCTTTCATAAAATTATAATTACAATCGATTGATATCGTTTAAAGTGTACTTCAAACACGATGCTCATAAAATTATAATAAAAAAGCTGTAATTGAGTGCACGTTATCGGAGAATTTTCATTTTTTTCAAGCACCTGGTCATTTATATAGCCGTTAAAAAATGTTAGAACCTGTCATCATAAAAACTAAAGGGGAGAAAACGCCGAGGGTTAGTACATTGTTGTATGGGGTAGAGTATTATAGAGTACACTATATACTACACACACACACTTATATATACATATAATTTACTATTATATACATAATATATAATACATAGTACGTATTATTATATCCAAAAATGTATCTTATATAATACGTGGGTACGTAATATATTTCACGTTTTTAGATTTAAGTTTATTATAATTTAAATAAAGTTTCCGTATTCTAATAGATATAATTCTTTCATTATTACATAGTACTAGAAATTTATCCATGCCATGCACTTTTATAACGGTCGAAAAAAAAACTGCACATTAAAAAGTTGAAGCGTCGAATTAAAACTTTTCTCAGGAATTTATAAGCAGTCAATAATGTTTTTTTTTTCGAGTTCACGAAGAAAACCTGAAAACCCGTGTCATTATTTTAAGTATTTTGGATTAAATAACACACTTTTTTCGGGATTTTCGTATACTTTGTCCACTTTTTTTTTTTTTTTATATTCTTTTCTCTTCTCCGCTAAACCACTTCTGGCCGTGCGATCGCGCGTGTTTTTACTTTATCGTCGTATACATCCCATCGTTCCTTTTGAAAACGATTCGAGAACGAACGGACGACATGTTCATATGATATGTTTAGTATTGATTTAACGTTTGCATCAGTTTGCAAAACGAACGGAGAAAAAAGAAAGCGAATTTCATTGCGGGTCCACGGACGGCGACCTCGGTAGAACGGAATGGGCGTGTATGAAGTCCGCGACACCCACGTTATGGGCCCGAAGTCGAGAGAAACAATATTTGTACCGAGCGCAGCGGTACCGGAGAGGACCTCGACCACTCGTTTATTTTCTTATTATATAATAGTTTCTCTCTGATCCTATGATCAACCGAATACGTTATTCACTCTGATCGCAGACTGCGCTGATGACAAGGCTATATTTAAGATATATACTTATTATACCTATTATGCCTATTGAGTATAGATTTTATATTAAAAATATTTTTTTGTTAGCAGTCATGCAGTTTGCTGCAACTCAATTCTTCCCTATTCTCCGATTTTATCTTCATTAGTCTGTAGTTTGACTCGTTTACATCCCTCATTATTTGTTGTTAGTAATCTAGAAGAGGTCTACCAACTACATTATTTCCATAATTCAGCTCAATAAGCTGTTATGTCTTAATGTATGTTCTATTAGTTTAATTCTTCTTTTCTTCAAAGTTATTATGAAATATCTTCGTTTTTCAACTCTATTAAACACTTATTCGTTTGTCATATGTTCTTTCCAGCTAAACTTATTTTCTGCACCCTTCTCCAATACCATGTTTCAAATAGTAATAATCTTTTTTCTTTTGCTTTAGCAATCATCCAAGTTTACTACTATACAGCATCACACTTCACATGTATGTTTTAATGAATTTCTTTCCAATGTTAATATATCGATGCTTTTGTAGGTGAATAGGTTCTTTTTCTTATTGAATGCACATTTTGCCTGACTTATTCCACTTACTATTTCTTTTTTATATGTACTATCTGCCATTATTAAACTTCCTAGATGTTTATATTCCGTACTCCATGCAATGATTCGTTATCATTACAAAAATAAATCATACAAAAAAATATCGCTGAGATTGAATAGAATAATTGTTAATTTTTTTTTTCGGTTATCTTGGAACTTGTTTTTACGAGACTTGATTGTTATGTAACGTGTGATAGCAATCGTTAAACATCTTCTTCTTCTCGCATGCGTCATATTCGGTTCTCGATGTGAATAATATAATATAATATTACACGTATGCTCAGCCGACAATAATATAAAATATCCTACGGTGCAGGCACACAGTTTCCAGTTTTCAGCCAGCAACTGCATTGCAAATATAAAATATTGTTGAAATTACATCTATGGGTCTTTTAAAATTGGATGGGACCGGTAACTCTTGTTTGCAGCAAGTCCGTTTCGTTCGACGGAAATAAATTATACGCAAACGTGCATACGTCACGACCCATAATCGAATATTCGACTAGACGATATTTTATAAATGATGTACATAATATTTACGTGTAGGGCCCATATCGTCGATGTGCATAATATATCAAAATGGTTTCTATTTCGTATGAATCTGCTATACCATAGGCAATATATGTGCGTGTATGTGTGTAACACGTCATACGCATATTACAGGGTGGTGCACCCCGTGTTTTCCATGGCCTCTCAGTACGAGCCAAAATGAAAAACCGTACCGGCCACGACTCGCTTTGTATACGATGTAAACAATTATGTTGTTGCACTCGCGTCAAATCGATCTATTACAATAACATTAATCAAACAGACGAACAATAAGAATGTCACGTGCGTATGTGTATTTTTTTTTCCGAGACGTTTATATAATATATACATAATATGATAAAATGCGCGTTTCTTCATTAATTTTGCAGTGACGTTTGCGAGACGTCACATAAATCAACCGCGAATTAAATTCGGTTTACGTTTAAATGTAGTTGTGCTTGATTAAAAAAAAAATAGAAATACTCAACCTCGGTTTACCTTGAGCGATAAAAAGTAATACATTAAAACGCACGTGTATACGATGCATATAATAGGCGTTGAGGGTTGTTACAATGTTATTGTAACGCATAAATTGTGTATTTAAAGGAGATGCTTAAAACACAGCGGCTCGGCACACATTGTGTTCGATCGGTGGTGCAACGCACGTAAGTCGAAACGCCTACGGACGAAGATAACGAGCGTACTTGCGTTAACGAAATTTTCAAAACGTTTGTTTTTTATTGGAACGCACACAAAATTGTTCACCGTGCGTGCAGAACGAGTCTTCTTGCGTGCAAATACTACCTATGATATTGCAAACGTAAAAAAAAATATGTAAAAAAAAAAGAAATACCTTTTTATTATTATAGTTGTGTGCCGGAGCGCACCCGATAGAAGTGAAATTTGTGTTCCGTTTTGGGACGTGACAGGGATCTATGCAATGGTGTTTTTTAGGTCGGGACCATTAGGGCAACCAATTTGATTGCAATAGGTAAATTAACAATCGTATCCTTGTCAAAACCATAGTGCATTTCGTCTATTATAATAAAATCAATTATGCTACGATTTTTTCTACGCTTTTATACCATTTGTTCCTAGAACGACCAAATCGTTGTTGACATGAATAAGTAACGCCCGGGACGATTACTGGTCTTCACACTGTATCTCATAAATTTGATTCACGCAACCGCACCTATAGAAGTTTCACTTCGATCATATGCCATTAATTAATCAATTTGTTTCACGAATCACAAAACACGTCGTGTTGTCGTGAAATTTTTTTTCTTCTTTCGCATTTTAAATAAAATGGTTAGGTACTTAAGCCAATTATAAGCATTTAATATTATAATTACTCGCACACATTTAACAGTATTGTTTTGTTTTTTAGTGTTGTACATAAAAAAAAAAAATAAAAAAAACAACCCCGTTAACATTCAACCTTATACACTCGTAATATTATACCGATGGAGTGACGGTGATAATTAAAATTACTATACGTTCTTCGTCCGTGCGTAATCGTAATAACCGAAATTGTCGAGTGCACGTTTTATAACTGTGTGTGTGTATAAGTGTAAAGTATTATTTTTTTATGAACATTTAAATTATTAATTCGTTTATATTTTGCTCTCTCTTTTTCGCTCTCTCTCTCTTTATCTATCTATATCTCTCTAGACCCACTGATCTACGGCAGCAGCTTGAGTTGCAATAAGAACGCTAGGAATCAATCATATCATTCGATCATTGGAAATGAAGACGGCATACAATACGCTTTAACGGTTATTTCGTTACGGTCGCATGTATACCGGTATTTTTTCAGGTCAGATTTCGATGGCCATCAACACATGAAATTGATTTATAATATTTTTAATTTCGTCAAAACGTATCCG